CCGTCGCCGGGCTGTCCGGCCCACGGTCTGGGCAGGAACCCTCCCAGAAGCTCGTCAGCGGGTTATTGTTACAACCCGGGGTTTCCCGGGGCAACGGCATGGGGCGGGGCTCAGACATTTGGCCCCGCCTTCTACTCCCTGGAGGAATGCTCCGCCTCCTGTTTCTAGACACTTGGCGTTTCCAGGTCTTGGTTCCAGAAACCTGATGGGACAAGATGATTAAGCTCTCTTTGTGTCTTGAATTGGGAAAAAGGGTCAAGCATACCTAGATGGTGGACCAGGTTTTCACACAATTCTAGCCTGTCAATCTGAAGCTGGGTTCTTCATGTGCTTTCATGGTGCCTGTGATGGTAGTTTCAGAGCCTTGATTCTCAAAGTTTAGTGTGTAGCAGAATCAACCTAGAAAGCTTGTTAAAGCATTGCAGCGCCTCAGCCCGGGAAAGTCTAGCCTGGGTTGGAAGTTTGCAGTTCTAACAAGTTCCCAGGTGATGCACACGTTGCAAACTAGTGGGGGTGGGATACGGTGTGCTCTTGGAACAAGCATTTGCCCCGAAGTTCATCGTGCTGGGGGAGAAGCTTCACAATCATTAACATATACTTATTGATCACCTGTCATAAACCAAGCACTATCCAGGCTGCTGTGGCAAGATCAGCGACAGATTGGTGAGGTCTACTGCACAGGCCAGTGAAGAAGTCAGATGTTAATCCGATTATCATGTGGCCTCAGAAGGGAGAACCTAGCTGAGGCGTTGGGTGTTATTCCACTGGGCCCTGGACTAGGTTTCCAGCCACCCCTCCACCTGCAGCCTCTGCCTAGAACACACTTTCACCTCCTCAAGCCATCAGAGATCCTCCCATCTCCAAAGCTCCGCTCCAATGTCAATTTACCCTTTACACCATCAACATTTGTCTCCATTCCTTGTTTGCCCACCCCACTTGCTGCTTGTGACAACACATTTTATCCCATTACGAGATGTCTCTTTTGCCAGTCAGGAACTAAGGACAGAGTGGAGAGGTGACTTGCCCAGACGGCATGGCCAAGACTAGAACCTCAAACTCACCAGCCAGCACCTCCCTCCTGGAGAGACTGGAGACTAAGGTCTGCAGAATTCTCTGGGCAGTTGGAGAACTTGACCCAGGCCATGGGAGACAGCACTCCTTTCTCAAAAACTCCTTCCTACAGCTTAGATACCAAGGTAAAACCTAGGAGGAGGGTGGAGCTGGGACCAGAGAGAGGCCCCTCCTGGGCAACAGGCCCAGTTTACAAATACCTACTGTGGCCTCTGCCTGAGTCACATCCTGAAGGCGAAGGTGGGCATGGGAACCTTTGGTGCCCCTTCCTCCCCCACACCCTCTTGGTCGTTGTGTTTAGAGTCACAAGGGACCTGAAAGCACTGCTGGACTTGTTGTGACAACTGCCACATGTCCTCCTTGCTTCAGGAGCCCACTGGAGGGTGCTTCCTCAGGTACCTTGGAGGCAGGGAGGCCTCCTGCCAGTCTTCAGCCTGGCCCAGCCTGCTCTGTGAGACAGGGGATCTGCTGGGGGTCATACCAGAGCTGGGAGGCTCCTTAGCTGGGGGGCCTGGCACAGGCTGCCACTGCAGGGCTGGAAAGCCAAGTTGGCAGAGACGCCCTAGAGGCTGACTCAGGCTCGGCTCAGGCCCTGCCCCGCCTTATGTTCATAGCTGTTGCCTGGACTCCCCTCTGGGACCCACATCTGGCACCCCGTCCCCTCCCCCCACACACACACATACACTCAAATTCGATTCCATCATGCACATTCACACTCATTCTTCTGTATTCACAACTTGGACCCTGCTCACATTCATTATGAGACACTATGACGAAGTGATTAAGAGTACCGGCAAGTTGCTTAACTGCTCAAAGTCACCACTTCCTAATCTATGAAATGAACATCGCGGTACTAACTTTGTAGGAAACTTGAAGATTGAAATATGGTGGTGAATATCCATACCAGGGTGAGTAAGTGCTCCAAAAAATGCGGTTCGCTTTCCTGCTGGTGCTGCCCCTACAGACAGATCTTCCATTCCCCTGGTCCCGGCTCACCTTGCCCCACCTGCTCTCCCTGCACACTCACGTCCACTCACCCACAGTGGCTCCCTCACACACACCCTGGCAAATGCCCCTGACACTTCCACCCCAGCTACACAGACCTGTTCCTTCCCCAGGCCCTTGGTCCCAGGGCTGTCACTCTCCCTCCCCCTCCCCCATGTTTGCACCCAAGCTCCCATCCTCTTCACCACTCCCACATTCATTCCTGCTCACAAACAAGCCCCCACTCGCTCACCCTTGCATTCCTCCTCCTTCCACACACAGGCACATTTGCCTCTGCCGACACCTTCCTGTGCACTTAAACACACTCGTATTTCACTGCATGCTTGAGCTTTTGCTCACACACAGATGCGTCTTGACCCAGTCAACCCATACTTGGCTCCGAAACTCATACACACATACCAAAACAAGGCCTGGTGCGTCTCAATACCTCAGTCGTCCTTTCCCTCCCAGTGACAGCACACACCACACAGCTCGCACACGCACACTGCCCCAGGCAGACACCAGCGACACGCCCCTACCCTCCTGAGTCTGTCTCCCCCACTGCTTCCCCTCTTCCAGTCACAGTCCCAGCTCCTGAGCCCCTCCCAGCTCTCAGAATAGCCCCTGTCACCGTGACCGCTGCCACCTCCGCACTGCCCCTGCTGAGCTGTCAGGGCCCGCCAGAGCCTGCGTCCCCAGCACTCGGTGCCAGCTGTCCTGCTCCCTGGGGCAGGCAAGGACAGGAAGAAGGGCTTCTCTGAGGTCTGATGGACACAGCATATTCCTCTGCCTCCCTCCAGAGCCCATCTGAAAGGAAGTCAGCTTTCAGGGGGTCTGCTGCCACTCACCCAGCATTTCCCCAGGTCCCAGAGGGCTCGGCCCTACCTCCTGACTGTCTTATAAGGCAGAGGGGCTTGTCTCCTCTTGAGTGCGCAGGGCCACCAAGATCCGGGAGGAAGAGGCTTGCTCAAGGCAGCACAGTGAGCTGGGAGCAGAGGAGGACAGAGGCCAACCACTGCCAGCCCCTGTGCGGGACTGGAAAGGCCCTCCTCTCAACTACAGTTATCAAAAACATCACCCTGCCCCCACCTGCCATGCTGAGCAGAGTCTGGTTGACATTTGATGCCACAGTTGTCAGGAAAAAGAATAGCACAGAGGCCATGTCTGTGGACACCTCTGGAGGGGGAGGGGTGGTGCCCAGCCAAGGCCTCCAGGGGTGGAAGGGGGGAGCAAGCTCCGCAGAGCCAGAGGGGATATCAGGACAGCTGGGAGAGCCTCCAGGGCAAGCTCAGGCCTGGCCCAAGGACAGCAGCAGGGAGTGGGTGGGGCCCTAGCTGAGGCTGCTTGAGGCTGAGGGGAGCAGCTCAGTGGAGGAGGCCCTCATGACAAGACCCCGGGGCCCTTCAGCTTTCCTATAGTCCATTCCTGAAGTAGGGAGTTTTTCTGGCTTTGGGGAGGCACCTTGGACCAGCAACTGCTGGGTGCCCAAGAACATGAAGCCCAGGAGGAAAAGACCTTTGTGCCCCCCAGACCAGGGGGCTGACCACCACCAACAGTGGTAGAGAGTTAGTGTCAGAGTGAGTTATTCTCATGGACCAGGCTTGCTCCACCATTCTGTCTCAGAGTCTCATCCCCCCAAAGCCTTATTGAGCACTTACTAAGTGTCAGTCCCTGCAGTGCACCTGACAGGCGTTATCCAGAAGAATCTGGCTCATTGGGAGCAAGGGCTTTGCCCATCTTGCTTACTGCTGTGTCCCCAGGGCCTAGAGCAGCACTGGCACAGAGCTCTTCAATAAATACTTGTTGAATGACATCATGAATGCTTCTCATTCTCAAACTACCTGAGAGGCAGATGCAATGATACCCATTTTCTGAAGGAGGAAAGTGAGACTCAGGAAAGAAAGTGAGTAGCCTGCCTCTCTTGGATCCAAAGTCTGGGTTTGCTCCTTGTCAAACTGAGCCTCAGTTTCCTCATCTGTGAAATCGCTGCACTCACCTGGAGGGGGTGATCAAGATCAGTAAAGAGATTGCCCAGCAGGGAACCTGGCAAAGTAAATGTCAGACATTTATGTTCCCTTCATCCTCCCTACTTCGGCTCGCCCTGATATTCCCAATTTCAGCACCACCACAGCTTGAATCTTTGATGCCTGTAAGTCACACCTCTTTCTGAACTCCCAGACAGTGGTGTACTCATTTGCTAGGGTTGCTGTAGCAAAGTATAAAAATAGCTTAAAACAACTCGAATTTACCATCTCGCCGTTCTGGAGAAGTCCCTGATTCGCCTCCTCTCGCTTCTGGTGGTTGCCCTGGAGGGCAGAGCCCAGGCTGCACCCCTCTCCCTGCAGTGTTCTTCCTTGTCTCTTCTCTGTGTCCTCACGTGGCACGCTCCTCTCTGTCTCTGCTCTTTTTATAATGAGTTTAGGACCA